AATATTTCTGCACATAAGATAAATATATATGATGCGATCGGATCGCCCTGACGGCATCCTCTTTTTAATTTGAAGAAGGGGGATAAGTTACCTCCCTGATTAATTGCGGAGTTAGAATTAGTGTGAAAAGTGTTTATCCATTTCTTTATGCTTGGTCCGTAATTGAAAAACTGTAAAACTTCATAAATAAAATTCCATGAAACAGAGTCAAAAGCTTTCTCAAAGTCTATTATTAATAATAAGGCTGGAAGATCATATTCTTCTGCATACTGCATAATGTCATAAATTAGCCTAGTGGTCACCAATTTTTTAGAAATTGTTTTGGTTTGTCCCCTTTTGGTAAACATGTAATAATGCCCTGTTTCTGTGTGATAGAGAGTTCATTGATTGAGTATCCATAATTAATTGATCTTAATATAAAATAACCAATAAATTTCCAAAAGCATTTAAAAAATTCTACCGTAAAGCCGTCTGAACCTGGACTTTTGCTATTTTTCATGTTTTTGAGAGTTTTAGCTGCTTCATGATATAGGATAGGTCCTTCTAGCATTTTTGACTCTGTTTCATTTAACTTTGGAATGTTATTTACTCCTTCAAAAACTCTATTCAAGTCAACGTTCTCTGCATTTTCATGACAGGCATATAAAGATGTATAAAAGTTAGTTATTTCTTTTAAAATGTCCTGTTGATTTGTAATAATTTCTCCATTATTTTTCTCAATTTTAGGTATAATTTTACTGGTAAAATTTCTTTTTTCTAGGCCACAAAAATAATTTGTTGGTTTTTCACCTTCCTCTATCCATTTAGCTTTTGATCTTATTACACTGCCCTTAAGTTTCTGTTTTCTCATGTTTTCTAATTCTAATTTATTGGTTACTAGGTATTCTAATGATGTATTTTCTTCATTCTCTAATTTTGCTATCTTTTCTTTTAATTCATTCTCTTTAAGGTTACTATCTTTTTTCTTGAATGAAGAATAGGATATACTTTTGCCTCTGATTTCCATAAGTAGTGTTTCTAAAAATAGTTGATCATTAATAGTGAATTGTATGTCTGTGTCCTGAACATCATCTAAATTGGACAAGTTATAGACTGGGACAGCATACTGTTCCTTTACTTTACATCTTACAGATTTAACAAGATCTTAATATTGACAATCTTCTAAAAGTGAGTTGTTGAATTTCCATAATCCTTTGCCTTTTTTAAACTCGTTGAATTTGATCTTGATTACTGGGGTGGAATGGTCTGATCTATAACTTGGTTCTATACTTGTCGATTCAATACTGGATAAAAGATTTTCAGAGGTGAGAAAAAAGTCTAGCCGTGCTTGTTTTCTAGGATTTGTTTTCCTCCATGTGAATCGTTTGTTATCAGGGTGATGTTCTCTATAAATATCTACTAAATTTTCATCTTCTACAATTTGAATGACTTTATCTCTTGACTTTGGGTTATTTATGTGTTTATAATTATCGTAATCTATATCAGGTTTTAAAACTAGGTTGAAATCTCCACATATTATCTGTGAATCATTATTGAATTCATCTAAAGTGTTTTCTAGATTTTCGAAGAAAGATGGTGTATCTGTGTTTGGACCATAAACATTGATTAGCGTAATTTTTTTGCCCTCAATCATTACATCTTATGCCAAAAAATTCCCCGAGTTATCCTGCTTTACTTTAAAAACTTTATGTTCAAAATTGTTATTAATTTAAAACGCCACCCCTCTTGAATTAGAAGAAAAAGAACTAAAATAACATTCATATCCCCATTCTGACCTTATTCTGTCTTCAGTCTGCGTTGTGAAGTGAGTATCTTGAATACAATAAATGCTATATTTCTTACCTCTTAAGTATGCAAAAAGATCTTTTCGTTTGTTTCTATCACCAAGACCCTGACAATTTGCTGAGAGTATATCAATTGTGTCCACCCCCTTTATGTCAATGTATATTACAAGAGACCACTTACTTAAGATGAACCATGTGTTGTTTCTAACATTGTTATAAAATAAGGATAACTTTAGAGCACTAACCAGGAGAAAGACATGCACAAAAATAACATTTGTATAAAGGACATGACATACATTACAACATACTACAATTATGCTTAAAAATAGCTCCTTAGATAGCATTGGTTTCATTTGCAGCTACATTTAAACTGATAAGTGTTGGATCAATAATATATCTTACCCCAGAGGTTCACGGCCAAATGCCCACATGCAACCACCTACACCAATATGTATCACATGTTGCGATTCGCATAAAGATATAGCCCGGGTATTCCGACTCCCCCGCCACCCTGAAAGGTAGATGTCTGACGTGGAACAGAAGGACATCCATTTTTAAAAAGTAAAACAGTCTGGTGAAGGAGCCAGAGGACACCCCGGTTGATAAAGATATATGCACTGCACATATCAGCACCAGCACAGGCATTCACGACTCTGACAGCAGTTAAAGAAATATTACAGAAAAAAAAATAAAATAAAAAAATAAATAAATAATAATAATAGGGGTAGTACTCAATCTCCACGCAGAGTTACGGTCCTTGCACTCCCTTTAATCTCTGCCAACGCCCAAAAGTAGTCCCGAATCACATGACCAAAAAAATCATGTGATCAATCGTACAAAATGGTAGCCTCCGTAGAGAACATGCCAAAGTAGTTGGAAATATAGATTGTTTTGCGTATTTTGCCAAGAATGTGATAGTTTTTAAGTTGAGTGGGCGAAAGGTACATAGTGAAGGATTCAATTCTAAGTTACAACATATATCAAATACAACTGGCGATATCATGAACAAATTATACGAAGCGGGCTATTCTATTCATTTTCAAAGCTAAATAACCACATTTATATTACTACGCTGAACATTACGCTAAAAAATATAGTGCAATATATATTCACGCCTTACTAATTGTTAAAAGTCGTTTAAAAGTGATATAGCCAAGACAATATTTTAGAAAGGAAAAAAAAGTCACTGAAGATGAAATTATCACGATTTGAGAGCAAATTTGGTTTTACAGGAATCTTGTAAAATCTGAGACGTTGACAGAGGTGTGTGTGATTGAAAAGGAACGACAACTCTGGGTAGAGATTGGGTAGTACTATCCATTTGTTTTCTATTTCTGTATTGTCAGACCTCCGAACGCCTACGGTGCCAGCATGTGCATCGGCGGTAAACCCCTGCGGTCCGAGCTTTCATAATCAGCCACCACCTGTTTATTTGATAAGTGTTAAGTTCGATTTACAACTTTATACAACTCGTCTAAGTACCGTTTCGTTATACCTGGGCTCTGATATCAATTGTTGTGTTTCGACCTCGTCTATATATACAAATATACTAGGGGGGGGGGTATATATGTTATATATATAAATATAAATTTTCTGTACATCATGCTAACACCTGTTCATGTAAATGGCAGTATAGACTATATACTAGAGGGATTGGGGCAGGCAAGATGGTAGGTATATATGTTATATATATATATAAATATATGTATACCAAGCTAACAACACCTGTTTAGCTAACTAACATATTTGCATACAGATAGTGATATTGGAGTAAAGGAACCAACATACAACTGATTGATTGCTAATTGACCACAGTTATATTATAGAGGGGGGAGGGGGGAGGATGGTTTATNTATAAAATAATGAAAGTGGCATTTTATTTCCAAGAGGAATGCGCCTTAACGATTTCTGGGGAAAATAAACAGATCAATTAGATAAAACATGAGTTAATTCTCTTTCATAGTATCCAAATCCTTACACCAACACAATAAACTGAGCCAGGGAAATTTAATAAAAAAAATGGTAGAGATATATGGCATAAAGATAAGATCTGGCAGTATACATGAAAAGTCTATGTTGATATTTTATGACTAGTTATGTGTAACACATAATGCGTTTTGTGCAACAGAGACCGTTAGTGTTTTATACTTATATGAATACTACCATATGTGACACAGAACATAGGGTGTTGATGTTAATTTTGTACTCAATATATTACCCTGTGATAAATATATGTATGTATTAACTTATAATTGTATTTGTAAAATGATCGTATTTATGTTATATGTTAGGGACCACAGTGGAAATAAGTCTTTGACTTTACTGTGTTATCCCGGTAAAACATGTATTGTACTGTCCATGTGATGTACTTTTATGTATTGATGCAATGTTTTACCAAATAAATCTATCTATCTATCTATCTATCTATCTATCTATGCTTTTGTTTATTTCTATTTTTTGCTTTTGTTATTGTTAAACATGCATTAGACCCACGACATATTGCGTCATTAAGTTATTTATCGGATAGATTAACCTGGCATCAAGCCTTGACGAATTCGATGAGGGGACAGAGAAAGCCTTACACGAAAATTACACATTACCGGGAATCAAACATGGCCATCATTTCACAGTTGTTGAAATGATTGGCATATGTAAAAAAATGTAATGCAAGCATAAATTGAAGAAGCATAATGATAGATTAATTTCTAATACTGTCGAATCCCGAGTTATATATTCGACCATGATATACAAACATATATTGATTATATATATTCTAACAAGTGAAATTTAACGAAAGTGTATTTTTCATTTCTAATTCGGTGTCCTTAGGCCTATATTACGTAAGGTGACCTAGATAATCGAATTTAAATTAGGCTATACAAAACGTGTCACATGATGCACAAAAGGTTACGTTTTTTATCGTTTGTGACGAATTTGTAAGTTGTCCTATTTTGTCTGTTTAACCTGGATATACAAGGGAAGGATTATCTAAGAGTCCTAATGTGTTGATTTATCGTCAATATCTGACAAACGTTTTAAACGATAAGAACCAAAAAAGATGCATATTGAGTTCAGCAAAGTTCTTTTTAAGCTGGTGAAAGTCGATAACTATGTTAATCTTGCCTTAACGAGTTCGAGTCTGAGATCTCCATAAGACTCAAGTCGCAATATGGTTTCTCAAAGATGATAAACATTAAATACTGATGCCAAGCTTTATACAGGATGTTCATATCGATCTTTCAAAAGTATTTATTTATTGTTATCGCCCTGAAACACATGAAATCAAGTAATAGATACATAATGTGCACGAGTGATATATCCGATACGTCACGAGTGTCAATTATGTATCTGTTTTATCTAATGACCGCCGAGGTTTTTGTAACCCACGTGTCAAGGGACGGAGCTATACAGCAGATCAGGATCTGTCAAGTAATCACTTTGATATTTTCCCGCCACTTTCTGACCCATCCCATTTCCTGCCACAACATTTCAGTCTCAGGTGTTAATGATGGCGGATCAGGCATGGCATGAGGTCCCCGGAGTTTATATGATATTTACACAGAGTTGTCTACAGATTGTTGGAGAGGGTCCATTTTACATGAGACCCCTTGCCGTAAGGAAATTTGGAACACAGCCGATTGGAGTAAATAAACTGAATGCAATTGTGAAAAACATGTGTTAGGAAGCAGGATTCGAGGGGAAATTTTGTAAATCACTACGGAAAGAGAACATGCGCCACATCTCTTTACCAAGCCGGTAAGTCTGAAATTAAAGTGTGTCTAAACATAATTGTGAATCACGAAAATATTAGCGTGTGTGTATGTATTTTCATAATCTGTAAAATAGAATGCATGTTCTTTTTCGTATATGAAAATAACTTTCGATGTCCATAAATAACATAAATCCTAAATAATTCATTAACACGATATTTGAAGTTAAATTACAGACGCGTTATTTATTTTGTTTATATATTCTCCCATTTATGATTAGGTATTTACTTTTTCCGCAACGCATGTGTATTTTTTTTTAAATACAATGTAGTGATGAAACAATTATTATTTTTTATGTGTGTGTTTTTTTTTAATTAGACATGAATGTTATACGCATGGACATTAACCTAAACCTTACACGATAAAAATGTCCATTTGATTTCTACTTTCAGTAGGTTTGATGAACAGTTGATTATGGAAAGGACTGGACATCGCAGTACCGCTGTCCGTGCCTACAAGAGACCGTCCGAGGCGCAACAGGTGGAACTAAGCCGGGCATTAGAGTGTGGGAAAAGTGCGATCAAGAAGGTCAAGACCGAAACACAAGAAAACAAAAAAAGTGTATATTAAATATATAATACCAACACATTATTGGTGCTTGATAGAGAAATGCTGTTTTTTTTACACTTACGGTGTCTAAATTTAATTAAATTTGTTTGCAATGTTTTTCGTGTCTTTGTTGATTTGTCACGCCCACTTTAAAATAGGCACCGCCTCCAGACTGTGGCATGGACCAATCAGAAAAGCCATGTGATATTTCAGATATCACATATGTGATATCTGAAACATCACACTGTATGCAATATATCGTCGAGAAAAGATCAAAGAAAAACCGAGGCGTCATTGGATAATACTTGATTAACTTTTAAGCACTAGGTTAAATATAACCTTTTTTGTTTGTTCGTTCGTAAATCTTCAAATCCATTTAACAAAAATGAGTTAACTTCATACGACAGTCCCATGAATTACCCGTTAATATTTGCAATTCAGTATAGATTTTCGGAAGAGAGTTACACGTACATGGTCTGTTGGAAAATAAAGCATACATGCTCAAAATTTATCGTCCAATAAAGCTGATTATTAAGCAATTTTTAGCAATATGAAACTTACGTTATCTAGGGACAACACCGTATCCACTGACGTTGCATCGTACAAAGTGACGAATCCAATGCCCTGTAATGTAATTTCAGCATGTTAATTGTGATATTGATATTACTGTTACTGAGCTCACTCCAGTAGTTTACATGTATTTTTTCTCCATTTGTTTCATTATACTTGAAGAATCGATTGTTTTTGTCTGTGTTTTCAGTATAAGGGACATTGAAAAATAAATTGTAATGCTGTCGCGTTTGTAACACTTTGGATATTTATCTTTCCTGTCGCAATTCCTTACTTTTTCTTTGCGGTGGTGTGTCCCTAGCTTTTGCGGGGACGTTAAATCCATGAATGTAGCTCACAATACAGAAGTATCTACTCGTAGACATGGGTATAATAATGAAGTGGTATGTAACTCAAATTTCTTTGGTTATCAAATTGTATGCAACTGTCATGTTTCACATGGAACTGACTAGTCAAGTGATAAATAACTCACCAACGAACAAATAATGAAATCTCCCTATGATCGTGCTTTTATATTGATTGGAAAAGATGTAACTGAATGTTTAACTTAAATACAATAAATTTCATTAACTTCATCAATTAATTTGCTTATTTAAATACATAAAATTGAGAATCGTACCTTATCCTTTTGTATAAAAACTCTTTCCACTTGGGCAACTGCAAATGCAAATTAGAATTTAAACCTATTACATATTTGTACAGTTTAAAAGAAATATGACTGTTCTTGTGCCGAAACAGGTCTTTTGTTATGTAAAAATTAGGTACATATTTCTTATGACAAACATTCAATATTTATTTTAAAAACTGAAACATAACAACTTAGTAATGAACATTGTTGATTACCGTCTGAACTAACCTGATCAGAAGGGATGGTGTAAATTTATGTTAATGTATATGACAAGTTGACCAACAATTCCAGTTATGGCATTTGATTATCATATAAAACTGAAGCATTTCATAACATAGTTTACAGTGTTTCGTGTTGATTTACCTGTTCCGATGTGTTTTCTTATAAGTAGACTAGCTGCTGCACAGTCGAGCCCCTTCGGTATTCCCGACACAAATATGGTATCCATCCCGAATGCATCTAAATGAATAGATCGACACTCATAGAAAGAACAATGATTGCAATTTACTGTATTTAAAGCGATGGAAGAATAACTAGTTGTTATGGAACAGCTTTTTTGCGCATACTAGAAAAAATGTATTTTATAGGTACAAGTTTATAAAGATGATTTTCCCCCAGAGCATCCAGACATTTAGCCATTGCTAAATTGTTGTTTTATCAGTTGAATATGCAATACATATATGTTAATTCTGTGCAATTTATTTCACAAATTGTCTTAGTATTCTTGGCCATATCATATGTCTTGATGTCTAGCATCCCCTTACTCCCTTCGTTCTTGCTGATACAGCATGCTTTTCTTTTTATATTTCATTCAATCCATTCTTCGATATTAAATTTCATATAACTGAGGCTATTCCTCTGTTCTCTAAGATATAAGAAGTCACATGTAGCCGCACCTGAAGGTACAAAATGTGTGTCGGAAACTCCTATTAATTGTGCAATTTTCTCTCTATTGTTCGCAATGTTACCCATCTTTTAAACATGTACACCTGATGCTAAAGTATGGACTTTGGACTTGTTTTGTTATCTTATTTGTTAACATTGTTATACGATAACGTAACATGTTATGGGTCGGTAAGTGCATCATTACCTGTGTTTACCTGTGTACTTCTACCTGGGCGCGATGTGACAGTTTGTATACACGCACATAGCAATAACATGGGCGAGTTAAAATGCTATGTATCTCTCCATATTGACTTGTTATATTAAAGGTGTTAAAAAGCTGCATAGTCTTACGAAACTCCACATTTCACGGATGCACTTTCAATTTCCATTAACCCATCTCGTTGGAAGTCTAACCGCTTCGTAGCCCGATACGCGTAGCCTCTGCACAACCGTTGTTTAATGGTAAGCTATCTCCGCGAACACGGCATAAATTTCTGACTTTTTGTAACTAAAATATTTTACAGACTATTTTTTTCAAATTAAGATCTACTGTCAATTTCTAATATAAACAATGTTTGTTATAAATGCTGGTAATACAAATTTAATGATTTAAAATAATCATAGTGGAACTATTTGTTTATTGCTCAACTGTGTATTTCGTTACCGTTGACAACGCGTCATCTTTCCGGCGAAAAAGGCTGTTCAATTAATGTTGTCTTCATGAGTGTTTTGCTTTTTTACGTGAAAAAAGGCTATTTTTTTAAATTTCAAATGATAAAATTTAATGTAATATAATGTAAATGTAAGGTTTAAACTGCATCTTTGAAACATGTATGAGGGTATGCAACACAGTTCCGTTCAAACATATTCTAGACAAGGAACTCAGACCATACATGTGTCACTCCAATATTGTGCAAACCTGCTTTTTATAAACAATCGTTTTTACCATCTACTATAGATCAATGGAATAAACTACCATCTGATGTTAGATCAAATCCGTCTGTTTCTGCTATAAAATCATACCTTGATAAACAGTTAAGTAGAAAAGTACCAATCCACTACACTTTTGGAACCCGTAAGGGTCAAATATACCATGCTCGTCTACGAGTGGAATGCAGTTCCTTAAACAGTCATTTATTTAGTAAAAATATTGTTCAATCTCCGCTATGTGTATGCTGTCAAGTTGAAAACACTGCTCACTTTCTTTTAGAATGTACCAGATATGTTGACATAAGAAGACAGTGTTTATATTCTTTGCCTTATAATATTACCACAGATATTCTACTGTTTGGGAACGAGACATTGCCATTACAAGAAAATGAGGTTATCTTCCTAGCTGTCCAAGATTATATATCAAAATCAAACAGGTTTTCCTATTGATTTAATATTTCATAAACATGTATGTGCTTAAAGCCGAATTGTACGTATGTAAGAACAAGTAAAACCCATTAACAACCAAACCCCTTCACCACTAATTATCTCCTTTTCTTTCTCCTTGTTTAAACTATTGTCACTGATAGTATTATTGTATTTTTCATTGGCGACAATATGCTGTCCATCCTGAATATATTTTGCAGATTATGATAAGGTGATAGATTTACATAAGTGTCTAAGACACTTGTTTCTATTTCCTATTTTGTGTTTTGTTACAAAATGTTATATAAATATATATATATATTGCATATATATGTATATAATTGAAATACTTGAATAAAAGAAAGTTTAAACTAAACATATTCTCTAAGATGCGCTAACGTGCATGATGGAACATGTTTGAACGGAACTGTGTTGCATACCCTCATAAATGTTATAATGATGCATTTCATACCTTAAATAATTTTAAAATGAAACCATGTTTTATGGTAAGCCATCCCTCAATCTAAATTAACCACGATCGTTCGAGCATCTTATGCACAGGTGTGCTCAATGTTTATTCGCCCAATTTTGTAAAGTTCAAGCTTTGTGTGCCCATCGTGCTCATATCGTTCACACACAGTGATGTCATTGAAAAATAAAAATAATCAATTAGAATATTGATTTTGACTGAAACTATAGGTTTTGAGCTTAAATGATCACAAAACATTTCAAATGTCCTTTCAAATATTAATACATCACACAACTGGTAATTGACACTGACACTTTAAATCATTGCCTTAACAATGTGTATTTAGAAATTGATATCTACAGAAAACCTGTTCCCAAACAGTTTTTGAAAGCTGCCACGTGTAAAGGATCCGGCAAAACAAATTAAGAATTAATATTCGAAAAGAATTCAACCTTCATGGACGAACATTTTGCTATTGTCATGACCTGATTTTAAATATGAAATTTGAGTGGTTAACAGGATTAAAGGCCCGATTCCTAGCCCTAATTGCTTAATTGCTAGGCCATAACTTTGAAATGGTTGATATTACTAGCCCATAGCCATACATTTGTATATACCATTGCTGGACATAAAGATCCAGGTGAGCGAAAAAGGCCCTCTTGACCTCTTTTTTGTTAAGTTAAACCGATATACTGTAATTTTACATAAATGACTGATTGATATCAGTGAACATGGCAATCGTTATGCATTTCAATAATGGGGTATTCGATAAGTGTGATACTATAATGATATATTGAGAAACATAAGATGCACAATGTAGAGCAAATGACAGCATAAATGAAAATAATGATTTCTTGTTCATTTTATAAGTTCATGTACAACAAGACATAATGGACACCTTTTCAACAGAATCAAAGAAAGAACAATTTTTTTATCAGACCAATGACATATATAAATTTGTTATTTTAACAAAAAATGATTTTGGATATTTATGTACCCAACATTGTCTGTTTTGTATTCTTCTGGTTTGATTGGTCATTTGCTTGAGTTGTCTGTTTGGTAAGAAGGTCGTTGTGTAAGTTGTTAGTATTTGTTTTCAATAAAATGAAACATTATGTGGCTTAGCATCCGTAAACCTGCAGCCGTTCCTAATTATGTTAATAAAACTCTCGCTCAAGCCACATCTTACTTGAATTACACAAACATGATTAACTCGTCATGGAACCTCCATACATAATGCTTACTTTGCAGAACCCTTTCAAAGGATTCTTATTGTGTGAATTTTGTATGCAGTGTTTGTGTTTGAAAGAGTACATTGTTGTAGACAATTAACTAAAATACCGTGCAGGTTTGCGTGACGTTAATTCTAACAATGCACTTTAGCACAGTATCAAACATAATTAGGTTTTGTATAAATGATAACAATCATAAAATGTTTGACTATTGTCTTGGTATTGTGAGGAAGGGTGTCTAATGCATTGCCAGTTCGTCTCTTCTATAAATGAAGTTCTATCCAACAGAGGCATTTAATGTGATTTTATATAGAGAGGTTTGTCCTGCTCTTTGGCATATTTTGTGACCATACCACGTAAACCTAAATATATCGGCCACAACACACATGCATTGTGTCTTAATGAATATTTTATCGATCCCGTACGTTTACATAATCTTACATTGTTAATGTATGTTTACCAATATACTGCACATATCACATTAACGAATCTCTTGTAAGGGAGTTTGTGTACCGAATCTCCATTATTGTTATCCTGTGTTTTAAGACACCGTTGGGATAGTCTTTATCATTTTTATAGGTCATCGTCATGCCGGGCTTACTTTGTATCGATTTCTTTTAATACCATTCCCCTTTTGGAATTCCGTTCGAATCGGATGCATTGTGTACAATTTTTGTTGTGCATGTTTTCCTTGTTGCCTTTATGTCATGATCTCTGGTCAGATTCCTTTGTACCAATCAACATAAAACCATGTTAATAAATCACCATCTGTTGATCTTGAATGCCTTAACAATCTTCACCATGGGACAGGTTGTTACAAACACGCATGAAATTTATACCGTAATTTCATGCGTATGTCGCTTGGGCACAACAAGATTTTACTTCCAAAAATGCCTTTCGCCGGCTGACTAGTAAAGCGAGGTCATTTTACCTTTACACAAACATATTAAAGATGCAGTCTACATTGTATATTTTCCTTGTAAAAGAAACCCCAGAAACGGTTTGACATATACACCGTGACATATAACCTTAGGTGTTATATGTGTATGTGTCAAATCGTTTTATTCACTTCACTTTAATTATATGAGCGGTTTAAACGTATTATCGGTGCGCAGTCAGCAAAAGTGGGCTATATGGTAATAGTGTTCTTGATTTAGCTCCTGCAGGCTATTCAATGGTGCAGGAAGTAAACATTATTCGATACAATGCAACTACCTTACATAGTCTGACGCATTGACAATTCTATCATTGTATATCAACGCAATATTTACTTCTTTTCTATATATGATAACACATTTAAATACCTGATTGATACTGCTCCACAGGCTCCTTCGCAATATTTCTGCGTCGTTTTGCTAATAGTTTAGTTATGATTAAAACCTATATGTAAAACGAAACACCTAATCCCATTGGCTAAGAGCATTCAGGTGTTTGTGTATGTTGTTCTTATATTTTCCTTGTAAAAGAAACCCCAGAAATAAAACGGTTTGATATATACACCGTGACATATAACCTTCGGTGGAATATGTGTATATGTCAAATCGTTTTATTCACTTCACTTTAATTATATGAGCGGTTTAAACGTATTATCGGTGCGCAGTCAGCAAAAGTGGGCTATATGGTAATAGTGTTCTTGATTTAGCTCCTGCAGGCTATTCAATGGTGCAGGAAGTAAACATTATTCGATACAATGCAACTACCTTACATAGTCTGACGCATTGACAATTCTATCATTGTATATCAACGCAATATTTACTTCCTTTCTATATATGATAACACATTTAAATACCTGATTGATACTGCTCCACAGGCTCCTTCGCAATATTTCTGCGTCGTTTTCCTAGTAGTTTAGTTCACTTGCATAAAGTTATGATTAAACCTATATGTAAAACGAAACACCTAATCCCATTGGCTAAGAGCATTCAGGTGTTTGTGTATGTTGTTCTTATATTTTCCTTGTAAAAGAAACCCCCGAAACGGTTTGACATATACACCGTGACATATAACCTTAGGTGTTATATGTGTATGTGTCAAATCGTTTTATTCACTTCACTTTAATTATATGAGCGGTTTAAACGTATTATCGGTGCGCAGTCAGCAAAAGTGGGCTATATGGTAATAGTGTTCTTGATTTTAGCTCCTGCAGGCTATTCAATGGTGCAGGAAGTAAACATAATTCGATACAATGCAACTACCTTACATAGTCTGACGCATTCACAATTCTATCATTGTATATCAACGCAATATTTACTTCCTTTCTATATATGATAACACATTTAAATACCTGATTGATACTGCTCCACAGGCTCCTTCGCAATATTTCTGCGTCGTTTTCCTAGTAGTTCAGTTCACTTGCATATAGTTATGATTAAAACCTGTATGTAAAACGAAACACCTAATCCCATTGGCTAAGAGCATTCAGGTGTTTGTGTAATAAGATTTGAATGACGTATACTTGTAACAGTTGCATGAACTTCATTCCATGCTAAAATATAATGTGTCCACAGTCCACATTGTCATTCACATGATTTGAATGGCAAGGTGACTTAGACTCGTGGCCGATCAATAGAAAGAATTGACAATTAAAAGCAATAGCATTTCGTCATATCTCTAGATTTCTATGACACCAATATAGCTTGGATAGAGCTTCTGTTAGCTTATCAAACTGAAAAACAATTATAGGATAGGTTAGTTTGCCATGATATGTCTTATGATCACATCATATTACAAAGTCTTAGTTCGAATAAGCCAATAATTATCATCATCTTATTGAGTATGTTTTCTTATGTTTTGACTTTGTTTTGTTAAATTGGACACTTGTCAAAAAATAGAATTTTCCCACATGTCTTCTTTACATTTAATCCATTGAAAATGAAAGTCTCATGTCAAAATGCAATGTCTTAATTTACCACTACAAACAGAACACAATAAATCTCCAACACACACACATGCATACACACAAAGGGAGATATTAGCAAGGTGGCATATGACTAGTAGTTAGCGCCTGATAAGGCAGCTCCTATGTACTGTACAGCGCTTTAGAGTGGCTTATGTTAGCTATATTATGTTCCTTATTATATATGTTTATTGAGAATGATTCTTATAGAAAAATCTAGATTCCATAGGCCACGTAAATTATGGATTAATATGGAAGTTTATAGCTGAAATGTACAAATAGGCAATTGGCGGATGTAGACACGTTAATCTCTTTTGCGGCCCATTTGAGTGATACTGAGCTTAATTTCTCTTTAAATATCTGTGGAGGGGCACATTAGCATCAAATGAAGCTGTTGCCATGCGAAAGTCATAGTATTCCTTGGTACATGAAATATATTTTAGCAGATTATAAATAATAAGGCAAAGTCTAAGTAACCTAAATCGATAAATGACCTTTAGATAATGTGTCATTTCATAACATTCTGTGATGTTATAAATGTGTAAACTATGAAATGAAATCAGCAGAAAAGTGTTGATATGCTTATACATGGACATGCAACCTGTCTAGATTTTGCATACAATGTGACAACGTTAAATGTAACGAATAGACACTTTACGTGAAGTGAATGAAATCACTATTGTCACAAGGTCATTTGGTTACATATATACGAATATACACTTTATCAGTAAAATATGTTAGTTGAACATTTTCCTATGATTTCTGTGCATTCCGATAGCCAGTAATACTGTTTTGAGTCCAGTATGCCTCTCTGCATCTAGTTGAAGAGCACTTAAAGGACAATCCTACATGTGCGGTTACTCAACTGTGACGCGTACACCTGTACACTATGCTTACTATAAACGTATAGGACCAATTGGATTGAGACAACGGGCAATTTAATGAAAAATGTATAAAGGTAATCCTCGGTTAAACAATACATATTGACAGCCTTAGGTATCGCCTTCGTCTTATTAAACTAAAAAATGCACACGCTTCGTGCGCGCAAATGTAAACAATAAATGCGCACCCGATATACAGGCATGGCCATATATACAGTCAATAGGTAATATGACTAGAAATATCACGGATTAACAAAAAATATGTACATGTCGTTAACTAACAATGTAAAAACAAATAGAAAGACTCACCACAATCTGTAGTTTGTGTTTGCTTACAAATTCTCAAAAGCGATTAAGCATGGCTTCCTGTGGCTACTCATGGCTTCCTGTCGATCCCTTAATACAAATCGTAGACGGATGACCAAAACTCCGTCTCAGTAAAACAATAATTGCACAGAACAATTTATCAGATAGAAGTAAAGCATTAGATCTTTTTTTAATATTAATACACTGTAGTTAATACATTCAAATAGCATAAATTAATTCTAAATTTGGGTCTTTGAATTTGACGTTTCATTGGGTAGGGATTTTTGGTGACTATAACGTCGTTTAGGGGGCTTGTTTAACTTAAAAAGAAACATGGTTTGAACAAAGCTATTGTAAACAGTTAACATTACATCGAATAGTTATTCATTTGCTTCTTGCTAGTAAGATATCGAATTAATCAACTTGGTAGAAATGATATCTTTCACATTGTGACAGATATCAAAAGTCAAAAAGTATTCGTGCTCATTAAAAATATCATTTTCCACCATAATGATGAAGTGTATATGGTACGAGGAACCATTAATATCTTCGATGTAACATCGTAAGATAAACGTGCACTTAAATACGTAGTCGCTACGCTGCTATCATAATAAAGACCAGTCATAGTATGACATAGTCACTCTGGCGGTTTCTAAGCGAGAGCGTGAACTATTCAACCACGGGTTATATACCACGATACGTAGTTCCTTAATTGATATAATAACAAAGACCATAAGTTTGTAACATTGTTATATTTACCATACTACTTCACGCTCTGCTGGTATCTTAATAAAAACGTTAGCAATCTCAGGTCTGATTAGTGTGAGGAACTTTAATGGAAAAACTTTTGATTAAACAAATTGAGCTTCAAAACTAAATTACATTGTCGGGATAAAAAGCAATCAGATCATGACAAGCAGAAACAACCAGACTTGTATTTTTTCAGAAATTACTTTTTCCGGTAGTATAGAATTAATTTGTAAGTCTTATCTGAAATTTCAGACACATATGCGTTCTTCTCTGTCTTTACAGAGATCATACTTCAATGATAAAATCTTAAGATATATCAATACAAGCGTGTCAAATGCTGGAAAACGTTTGATAATATCAGAAATAATTATAGATACACCAAAACAGAATTATGAAAGACGAAAGATCTGGAGATTCGGTGGCCTTTAAGGATATCGAATTGTGTAATTATTTAAATTTGATATACCCTCAATAACAATTTGAAAACAAACCTTTCCTTTCTTATCTTTTGTTATGTAGACACTGGTAAAGATATGAATGATAACCTATCCAAATACAGACATGTAAGTGCTTCACAATGACCTGCACAAGAACACTACGTTCACGTTCTTGAACTGACTCTTATCTATGATATGAAAAACAATGATAGCTGCATGCACGTTTGCGAAATCTAAAAGTGGATCAATTTACCTTGTTCGAGCTTTATTGATTAGATACTGGTATCCAGGTTGTCCTGTTATCCCGAACAAGTTTAAGGAGGTACTTTCCCACCATCTAGCCAGTGATTCAGAGAACAAATTTTCCCACTAGCAAGCCAATGTCTTACACTGGTACATTTAATCAGTATTAGAAGGATACGGATAATGCACCCATATCAACTATCTATATACTGGTTGATTGATGGCTTGTGTATACTGAGTATACATAATGTAGATTAAAATGCATATATGTGATGATCATTGCTGGTAGGTAACTGAATTCAAACACCATTGTATTTGTGATCCATTATACTCTAATCTGTTTTGTGTGTTATCATGTAAAACCCCATGTCTGTGTCTACCGCATACTTCAATAGAATCAACAGAATTTTGTTTTCAGATATCAGTTGTGACGTAATAACGGTGACTGATTGGTAATCAATTACACATTACAGCGGGGTCTGTTTCGATATCTTTTATAACTAATAAAGTGGCTTTATCTATCGCCCGGCAAACTCGATTAAATACAAACAATTATCTACAGAAAATTGTTATCCTTGATCTGTTACAAGGAAACATGTGTTAACAAAGCAACAGTACAAGGATATAATAACGTGGTAGGCAAGGTTCTGTGAATAAATGTCGCTGTCTTTTTTCATTATGTTATTTATCACCAAGGTCAAATAAACACTTTATATTTATATTACTCTATTATTTGTTTTCATAAATGTATCTCACCAAATACCCGTGCTATGAACCTAGTTGTGATTTTTTGTATACTTGTAGCACTCCAGTGTTTTATTTGTAAACGTCGAGAGCGCAAGAAATGAAACAATAAATTAATAGTTCAACATAATCTTTTCATAGCTTCAATTCTGAGTATCGTAAATTGTTGATACTATGTATTGCTTTTACGTTGGTCGGCAAAACGAACAGAAATGTCGTACAACAGATAGCGGTCATTACCGGTACAATACCGTAATAGTAAAGACAAATCATTATAACTGCTTTAAGTTTCGTACACTTGTGGGTAACATGTGTGTGGACGTTAGTCGTCAATACGAACAGAAATGTGTGTAAGCTCGCCGATGTATTGAGGTATGACTAATGTCGACTATTAACCATTGTGCTAGCTTGTATTCATCTTAACACGTACTTAAACGTATTACACAAATAGTTAAGAGTCCAATATCAAGAGACTGTTTGTTATTTGCGGGACCGTTTACGGTAGTTTGTATTATATTCTTGTTGTAAAAGTGTGGAAATTGGCATGTCCAGTATGATGTCAAGTGGTTGGACTTCAGTTTAAATGTTCTAACTTGCATTTAATTGAATGGTAAGAAGACGAAAGCACACCATCACATGATACCAAAACTTCAATAAACAATATTCTCTATGCTTTGCCTCATAATATAACCGTGATGTGGGGTTTCGATTTTGTTTATGTGTGTTGACACTTTGACCCCTGACCTCAAAAGGCTAGCGATGATAGACTATATTCTACAAATAAAAGTCAACCAAGGAAGATCTGGAAGGTGCGTTTAATTTAAAGTCTCAGTCACGTCTTATTTTTTATTCAGTCTCTTAGCAAAGATTGCCACGTGGTGTTTCCCAGCGACTATTAACTGTCCACTACCATGGACATCTAGATCAACTGGATGGTAGATAGCCGACGGTAGAGAATAATTACATAGTAGCTGCCGTCTTTTGACAGAACAATGATTTTCTGTCCATAGTAGTCAGCCACCAACACCGAATTGTCATCTGTACAGTGCCCTACATGATGACCCCAT